CATGGTTTTACAAAATTCATTTATGAGTTCTATAAGCTTGTCTTCTTTGAGTTCTTAGAATTTTCTATATAGTCATGAGGTCTACAAATATAAACAGATATTCCTCTCCCTTTTCAATGTGTATTCCTTTTAGTATTTTTTTTTTTTCCTTTGCATACTTAACAGGACATCAGTAGAATAATGAATGAGATGTTGTTGTTGTTTTTATGTGCCATGGAGTCGGTTCCGACTCATAGCAACCCTGTACAGGGTGTCCGAGGCTGTAAATCTTTACGGGAGCAGAAAGCTTCATCTTCCTCCCGCAGAACAGCTGATAGTTTTGAACTGCTGACCCTGAGGTTCGCAGCCCGATTCATAACCACTACGCTACCAGAGCTCCTTATAGTGAAAAAAAGTATTCTTGCCTTAGTCTTAATGTTAGTATGTGTTTTTGTAGTTGTTAAGTGCTGTTGAGTCGGTTCCTACTCATAACAACCCTGTATAGGGTTTCTTAGGAATGACTGGTGAGTTTGAACTACCGACTTTGCTGTCCAGTGCTTTTTCTACAGAACCACACCAGGACTCAATTTTTTTTTTTTTTTAATTGGGGGTACAGTTTATTTATTCCATTGTTGTTGTTGTTAAGTGCCGTGGAGTCAGTTTCGACTCATAGCAACCCTGCACAGGGTTTCCGAGGCTGTAAATCTTTACAGAAGCATAACGCCTCATCTTTCTCCCGCGGAAACACTGGTAGTTTCAAACTGCTGACCTTGCGGTTCACAGCCCGATTCTTAACCACTACGCTACCAGAGCTTTTAATGATCTATTTATGTATATCATAGATACATTAACTAACTTTTAGCTTCATAGCTTTTATCACTTTTGTCTCAATATAGTTAATTACATTGATTGGCGTTCAGCTCTTAAGCCAGTCTTTCATTTTTGTTATGTGAACACTAGTTGGTCCTGATGTATTATCCTAAGTTAGAGAAGTTCCCTTCTGTTTCTGAGTTGCTGAAAGTTTTAATTGTGAATGAATATGAAATCTTTCAAAATGCTTTTTTGCACCTGAGATGATAAGATGACTTTTCTTATTCTGTTAACATAGCAAATTGATCGTCTCATATTGAAGAAGTCCAGCATTCAAGGAATGTATTGCACTTGGTCATAATCTATTGTTTTTTATATATTGCTTGGCTGTTGTAAAGTGCTGTCAAGTCGGTTCTGACTCATAGTGACCCTATATAGAATTTCTGTGGAGCAACTAGTGAGTTTGAACCTCTGACCTTGTCCTTCAATCTAACCTTGTGGTCCAGTGCTTTTACCTGCAGTACCACACCAGGACTCCATGGCTTGGATAGAGTTACGAGCATTTTGCTTAATTTTGCATGTATATTCAAGAGAGAGGGGGTCCTGGTATGGTGCTGTAGGATAAGCATTAGACTCCTAAAAGCAGGGTCGGTGGTTCAAACCCACCAACCACTTCTTGGAAACCCTAAATGGTCATTGTAGGTTAGAACCGATTCAACAACACTCATCAATAACAAAATTCAAGAGATATACATCTGTAGTTTTCTGTTACATTTTGTCTGGTTTGGGTATTAAGATAATGCTGACCTCATAAAACAGATTAAAGTATTCCTTATTTTTCTATTTTTGGAAGAGTGTAGTTTTTTTTCCCTGAATGTTTGGTATGTTTCGTCAGTGGAGTAATCTGGGCCTTTAGTTTCTGTTTTGGAAGGCTTTTAACTGAAAATTCAATTTCTTTAAACAATATTGGGCTGATCAAGTTATGTTTCTTTTGAGTAAGCTTTTGTAATTTGCTCTGTCACATGGGTCATTATGAGATGGAATTGACTCAGTGACAGCATACAACAATAATGAATCTTACATAGAGATTTGCTGGGTGATGAAATGGTTAAGAACTGAAGTACTTAACTCTCAGTGGTCCCTAACAACAACAAGATGCACAAGGTATACTGGTGTATAAGTCCTTGGGTGGTGCAGATGGTTTGTTCTTGGCTAGTAACCACGGAGCTCTGGTAGTATAGTGGTTACGAATTGGGCTGCTAACCTGCTAACCTCCGGGTCCCCAGTTTGAAACTACCAGCTGTTTCCGTGGGAGAAAGACGAGGATTTCTGCTCCCATAATGATTTACAGCCTCTGAAACCCTGTGCAGGGTCGCTATGAGTCAGAGCTGACTCCATGGCACATAACAACAACAACTAACCAAAAGTTTGGCGATTAAACCCGGCCCACTGGCGAAACAGAAGAGAGGTCTGATGATAGGCTTCTGTAGATTTCAACCAAAAAAATACCATGGAGCTCAGTTCTGCTGTGTAATACATGCAGTGGCCATAACTAGGTTTAGTTTTATTGGTTTGTAGTTTTCTCTTCTTGTTATGTCTTTGTCTGATTTCAGTATTAGTATCAGGGTAGCAATGGCTTCTTACAGTGATGTGGGAAAAGTTCTTTTTCATTAATTCTTTGTCATTAATTTTCCTTAAAGACTAATGGTATTCCTTCTTCTTTAATTTTATTTTGTTGTTGAGAATCTACACAGCAAAACTGACACCAATTCAACCATTTCTACATGTACAATTCAGTGACATTGCTTACATTCTTCAACTTGTGCATCCGCTCTTACCTTACTTTTCCTCGTTGTGTCTCCTACATTAATATAAACACATGGCTCCCTAAGTTACTGTCTAACCTTTCAAGTTGAGGGGATTTTTTGGTTTATGTGCTAAAGATTTCTTTTTGGGTATAGTTTCAGGGTTCACCCAGCCGCTTAGCTCCATGCCTAGAGTCCATGAGAATCTGAAATTCTGTTCTACACTTGCCCCCTTTTGACATGAAACTGTCTTAAACCTTGAAACTAAGGAACTAAATCCCATGAGGTTTTTGGTTGTACGTAATCAGCAAGCTACTTTTTTTTTTTTTTGATAAATATGTCTGTCACATACTTTTTCCACTGTATTTTGTACAAGTGTACAATTTATTGACAGGACTTAAAAATAATTGCCTGTGGAATCCTACCCAATGCCATTTTTTTTTCATCATCTTTATCTCTCTATATTCTCCTCCCTTTCTTCCTGGTAACCACTAATACAGTTTGTTCACTGTGTAGTTGCCTTTTCTTAAGACTAATAGCAGTTTAACTTTTGTTTTTGTCTTTTAGGATTCTCCTTTTACAAATGCAGGAATGGGATCTAATCTCAATCTTTTAGGTGAAATTGAGTGTGATGCCAGCATAATGGATGGAAAATCCTTAAATTTTGGAGCAGTTGGAGCATTGAGTGGTATGTAGACATATAGTACACTATCTGTGTTCTGTGAAAAACGTTAAGTATTTCCATCTCATGTTTCCTGAGGATTCAGTCCAGTCTTTCTCTCCATTCTTATATCCCTTATACCAGGGAACCCTGGTAGCATAGTGGGTTATGCATTGGGCTGTTAATAGTTAACCACAGCCACTCTGTGAGAGAAAAATGAGGCTCTCTGATCCTGTAGAGATTGACAACTTTGGAGACCTTGTACAGGGTCACTGTGAATCGGAACTGACTTGACAAAACATATGGACTGATCTGAAAAGAAAAAATTTTTTTTTTTCCTTTTACATTTAAAACGTAAACCTTTAGCTATGAATAATTTAAAGGGAGACAGCCCATGACCTAATTTTGTTGTCATTTGATCATTTTCTTCTATCGCCCTAAGCAATTATGTTGCTATTTTATAGATTAGCATATTCTATTATTTAAAATTATTTGATATCTGCAAGTAATATACTTTTGTTATAAAAAAAAAAATTCAAATGATGTAAGTAAAATTTAACCTTATTCTCCTAATTTTCTCTTCCCATTCCTTTTTTCCTGGGGAGTTTAACAAGTAAAAATCCAGTGCATTTTTCTGAATATTCATTGAATGTTGTTGTTAGATGCCAAGTCAGTTTTCAACTCATAACCACCACACATGGCAGAATAGAACTGTCTCCATAGTGTTCTCTATGTTTTAATCTTTATGGGATAGAATTTCCAGGTCTTTTCTCCCATGGAACCTCACTGTGGGTTCAAACCACCAACCTTTTGGTTAGTAGTTGAGATCTTAACCATTGCACCACCAGGGCTCCTTGCATAAAACATTAATGTCTTCTTAGAAATGCTAAGAAATAGTACAGGTGTGGTGCTGTGGACTAATGTGCTGGACTGCGAAGTCTCTTTGAACCGCAAGCTTACTTTGAACTGCAAGCTTTTGCTCCTCAAAAGCCCTGTACAGGGTTGCTATGGGTTGGAACTGACTCGACAGCATTTAACAACAACAACAACAACAACAACTTATCAAATAATGCCATGCTTATTAAAACTATAATTAAGTGATGTGTAATCACAATACTGCAGAGGTACATTTTTCTAAATATTAACAAATCAGCAGAAACCAGTTACCAGCAAATAGAGTCAGACTCATGATGATGTTATGTACATCACAGTAGAATTAAGGTCCATAGAGTTTTCAGTGACTGATGTTTTGTAAGTAGATCTCCAGGTGGATGTGAAACTACCAGCCTTCGAGTTAGCAGTCAGTGCATATCCAGTTTTACCACCCAAGAACTCTAAATTATTGTTTTGGCTAGGTAACATCAGGATTCCTGGAGTGGTACTGTGGGTTAATGCACTGGGCTGCAAGGTTAGTTTGAACTACTAGGTTGGCAGTTGAAGCTCTCCAGACTCTCCTTGTTGTTGTTGGCTGTGAGTTAGAATCAACTCGACAGCATGTAACAACAACAGGTGCCATCAAGTCTGACTTATAGCAAACTCCATGTGACAGAATAGGATTCCCTCATAGGATTTTCTAGGCTATAATCTTTAAAGGAACATATCTTTAAAAGAGATTTGAACTGCTGGACTGTCAACCTTTCATTTAGCAGCCTAGCCCTTAACTGTTTGTGCCACCCATTCAGTGTAGTTTTGTCCAAATGATGATGATGCTGTTTGGGAGCATGAGTAACATGCACTTTTTACACTATGATGGAGAAATGGATAATGAATCAACATCTTGAAGTTTCTAACAGAGCTGAGTTTTTCATATGACTTCACTTTATATCTTAGTATTTAATGAAATTGGTTAGCCAGTCACATAGTGATAGAAATATGTAGCCTGTGCTTAACTAGCCAACCAAAGGTCAAGTGTTGTTTTGATAGCTAGTGTCAAACTTTTTATTTTTAACCTGAACAAGTATAGTCAAACGGATCTGGACAACTTAGGAAGAAAGTCAGATGTCATTATAAATCGCTTTTTCAATGATGAACTTTACAGTGCTGTCTACTGAATTCTCTTGGGCTGTCTTTTTCTTTGTCCAAATCCTTTTTGGGTCCTCCTTCTATTTTCTCATTTTTGTCCTCTATTTTTTTTTCCCCTCCTCACCTTCAGCTTCTTCACCCTGTTCATCAGAATTACATTCTTTCACTTCATTACTAAGAATAATACAAACTTTGGCACCCAAAGTTCATGAAAAATATATTTCCAGTTTATAATTAATAGCAACTTCCAGTAATATGTCCTTGAGAGCATCAGAAGGATGACTGTTGTTATTAAGTGCCACTGAGTCAGTTCTGATTCATAGCGACCCTCAGGGTTTCCAAGGAGTGACTGGTGGGTTTGAACAG